GCGGGGCAGCGCCCCGTGCCCGCCCTCACCAGCTGGTAGGCGCTGTTGTTGTCGCCCTCCGCCATCTTGCACACCCACAGCTCCACCGCCCGCCGGCCACGCCCTCCCGGGCCCCGCCGCGCCGCAGCCTTTTATAGCCTCCGCGCGCCCCCTGGGCCCTCTGATTGGCCAAGCCCCGCGAGCCGCCGGTCGCCGGTTGGCTGGGGCGATTCGAACGGCGCGGGGCGTGCGCGCGGCCGCCCCTCACGCGCCGCAGTGCGGCTGAGGCAGGGCCGGGCCTGGCTGGGCGGGGGTGTTAAGGGAGGGTTCAGGGGTTGGAGAACCAACAAAAAAATCCCATCATAGAATCAGTGAGGTTGGATAAAACGTGAGATCACCGGTGCCACGTCCAGTTTTTCCTTGGACACCTCCAGGGACAGTGACTCCACCACCTCCCTGCGCAACCCATTCCAACGTCTAATCACCCTTTCTGTGCAGAAATTCTTCCCAAAGTCCAACCTAAACCTCCCTAGGAGCAGCTTGAGGCTTTGTCCTCTAGGCCTGTCACTGGGTGCCCGGAGCAGAGCCCGATTCCCCCCTGGCTGTGCCCTCCTGTCAGGCGGGTGTAGAGTGATAAGGTGCCCTCGAGCCTCCTCCATGCCGAACATCCCCAGCTCCCTCAGCCGCTCCTCACAGCACTTGTGCTCCAGATCCCTCCCCAGCCCCAATGCCCTTCTCTGGAGCTGCCCCAGCACCTCAATGTCCTTCCTGAACTGAGGGGCCCAGAACTGGACACAGCCCTTGAGGTGTGGCCTCACCAATGCTGTTGTAAACATCAAAGCCCAACGCGTTTTATTTCCTTTAGAACTTGTGGCAAGCATGGGAACAGACAGAGGAGAAAGGCACTGGGATATAAATACTGTTTCTGACTCAACGTTCTAAATGCTTTAGGCACGTGTGATAATGAGCTTAATCACATTGCCCAGGGTGCAACGCAATGGCTAAAATGAGAGCAAAGAAAACATCTCGGGCACCAAAACTGCTCTGGCACCAGCATGGTGGAGAGGAAAAAAGAGAAGGGCTAAGGAGGACACTGTAAAAGCAAACACGTCAGTCCTGAAGGGTTTGATCTTTCACCGAGTGCTTTTCACACTCAAGAATCTACGTAAAGAACACATTCTTTACTGAACAACTTTAAAATGCATTCACATGCTGCAAAAAGCTAACAGCGTTTTGTGTACAATTTTACACTTATAAATGATGGAGTCCACCCTCAAAATCTAATTTTACCACAGCAAAACTCAAACACTGATTTCATAAGTAAGTGATACGAGCAATAAGATTATTAGTCTTTTAAGAGTAAGGAGACACATAGAAGCATGACCTCAAAGTAACCTTCCAGTATCTGAAGGGGGCCTACAGGGAAGGGACTCCTTGTCAGGAACCGTAGTGATAGGACAAGGAGTAATGGGTACAAATTGAAAGAGGGGCAACTTAGGTTAGATATAGAAAGAAATTTTTCACTGTGAGGGTAGTGAGACTCTGGAACAGGTTATCCAGGAAGGTTGTGCATGCCCCAACCCTGACAACTGAAAGAGGGGCAACCCTGGCAATGTTCAGAGCCAGATGGGATAAGGCCTTGAGCAATCTCGTCTAGTGGGAGGTGCCCATAGCAGGGAGGCTTGGACTAAATGATTCCAACCCCTCAATATTCTATGATTTTATGATGCATTGCAGTTCTTAGGAGTATTTGCAGTGTCCTGCAGCAGCACTGCTCTGGCACAGCCAGATGTGTTTGATACAATCAGCCAGCCCACCCGGCTTCATCCATTTATATAATTCTCACCACAAAAAACAAAAGCACTTACCAATGGAAAAAGCAGGCATTTCCATCATCTTCAACCCATCACATTCATCATCTTCCAGCCAGTCTTTCCAATGCCAGCTCCTGAATCAGTCTGCCCTGGCGCTTTTCTCCCATTCCAGAGGGCCTGCGGATGTGCCATTCCCTCATGGTAAGTGTTGCTCCATAACTTGGAGAGGCAGAGGGACAGGTGAGTGTTGCTGGGTACCCTCACACCCAGAAACACCAGAGATGTGCCATCACACTGCACAGAAAGGACAGCGTGGGGCCCAGCCACCTGCTCACACCCTCCTCACCGGGCAGCCAGGCCTTGTGAAGCACCATGTAAAAACAGAAACAATGTGTGTGTGTGTACATATACATGTATATATAAATTTGGTTGTTCAAATCTGAGCCCTGGTACCCGGGGCAGAGGATGGCAATAGCAGTAGCTCAGTCCCACCTCCCATACCTCACCTGAGCTACAGCCAGCCCCTTGTTTTGTTTGCTGCAATGGGATCAGTCTGCCTGTACCAGAATTCCCTCTTAGCAGAAGCACAAAACATTAAATGCCCAAGCTAACTCCAAAGCACCTTTAAGAGGACCAGTGTAATTGCTCTGTGCACTTAGAATAGAGACACAAGGTCTGCATGTAAAAAAATTACCCTGGTTAATGGCAATGTTGCCCTAATCAGCTATGCATTTAAGCACATGCAGCAGTAGTTGCACATAATATCTGTATTTTCAATAAATTCTTTAACTAAAATGTATACTCCTAACCATTTTCCACTAAAAAAAAAAAAAAAAAAAAAAAAAAA